TGTCAGAAGTTTGTTTTTGACTTGACTGTGACTACTCTTTGTAACACTCTGATCTGGGTAAAAGTAAAGGCAAGCAAGCTAGAATTTTGTGGTTTCATGGCCCTCAGTAACGACCTATACTCTAAGCAAGACCCAACCTCCAAAATAACCAGGAAAACCAACACTTTGATTAAGAACTCCTCAATCAACTTTTGACATACGACAATAGCTATGTAAATCGGAAGCCCTTCCACCCAGGCTTTATGGACTCCCAAAAATCCATAAGGACTCCACCCCACTCAGACCCATCGTGAGTGCCATTGGATCCCCCACATACGACCTAGTAAAATTTCTTGCTGCACAGTTACAAAGCCATATTGGGCTCACTACACACTACATCAAGGACTCAGCCCACTTCATAGAAAAAATCAGCAATCTCAAGCTAAATACCAACAACAAACTGATCAGCTTCGATGTGGTATCTCTATTTACCATGGTCCCAGTAGCAGACACCATGGCACTCATCAACCAGAGGTTCCCAGAAGACATCACGGCTCTGTTTCACCATTGCCTCACCACCAGTTACTTTCAGTGGGACAATGAATTCTACGAACAGAAAGATGGAGTAGCTATGGGGAGCCCTCTCAGCCCAGTCATAGCTAACTTCTAACTTCTACTTTGAAAAACAAGCCCTGGAGACAGCAACCAAAAAGCCCACGATATGGTTCAGATATGTGGATGACACCTTCACCATTTGGAGCCATGGAGAAGAAGAACTCAACAGGTTCCTGGACCATCTTAACAGCATCCACCCAAACATCCAGTTCACCATGGAAAAAGAAAATGAAGGAAGACTGCCTTTTCTAGATGTCCTAGTCATCCGCAAACCAGATCAACAATTGGGTCACACCGTCTACAGAAAACCCACACACACAGATAGATATCTACATAAAAACTCCAACCATCACCCAAGTCAAAAAAGAAGCACCATTAAAGCCTTGGCAGACCGCGCAAAAAGAATCTGCGAACCCCACCTCCTCCAAGATGAACTGAACCACCTCAACTGGGCTCTCCAGGCCAATGGATACTCCACCTCAGACATCAGAAGAGCTGCAAGACCAAGAACAAGCCACGAGAGTAAAGATGAAGATCCACCCAGAGGAAAAGTGTTCCTGCCATACATCAAGGGAACCACTGACCGCATAGGGAAGCTGATGAGGAAACACAACATACAAACAAGCTACAAACCCACCAAGAAAATCCAACAAATGCTACGTTCAGCAAAGGACAAGAGGGATCCTCTCACCTCTGCAGGAGTCTACCGTATACCATGCAGCTGTGGACAAGTCTACATAGGGACCACCAAACGCAGCATTGCCCAAACACGAATCAAGGAACATGAAAGGCACTGCAGACTACTTCAACCAGAGAAGTCAGCCATAGCAGAGCACCTGATGAACCAACCTGGACACAGAATATTATTGGAGAACACAGAAATGCTGGACCACTCTCACAACCACCATGTCAGACTACACAGAGAAGCCATTGAAATCCACAAGCATGTGGACAATTTCAACAGAAAGGAGGAAACCATGAAAATGAACAAAATCTGGCTACCAGTATTAAAAAACTCTAAAATTACAACAGCAAAACAGCAGAGAGGAAACAACCAGGCACATCTTAACACCTCTCAACAAACGATTTTCCCAGGCTCAGCCAGGCCTTCAAATGCTAATGAAGGTGGTCAGTTGAAACATTCACACCTAGCTCCAGCAGAGAAGAGCTCTTTGCCCCACCCCAGCCATTCCACAGATATATAAACCCATTGTCCTATTTCCAACAGACCTCACTACCTCTGAGGATGCTTGCCATAGATGCAGGCGAAACGTCAGGAGAAATGCCTCTAGAACATGGCCCTATAGCCCGAAAAACCACACAAGAACCTAGACCTATACTCTGTTTCCTTATTTTGTATCATCCCCAAGTGTGCACAGGTGTTTCTAGCTTGACTCCAAGACAGTGAAGGAATACATCCTACTGTTTAGCTCAGTGTTTCTTAAACTCTGCTCCTCTCGGTGTTTTGGACTTAAGGTCTCAGAAATACCAGTCAGTTTCCCAGCTGTTGGGAATTGTGGGAGCTGAAGTTCAAAACATCTGGAGGAACAGAATTTGAGAAACACTGGCTTAGCCACGGTAGGGCTATTTTGCATGGACAGTACAATTCATATCTGCCTGCTTGTTTGTGTCTAGATCTGGATTGATTCACAAAACTGTATGGTCAAGGTGGGAAATTCTTATCTTACTAATATGTTAATTGACTGCCCTGATGCCAGTTTATACACATTATATGCAACGGTTTTGTGAATTGCCAATGTTAATACTGTCATTTTTACAGTTAGTGCTTCCTGTAATTCCCTCTGAACTCAGTTCTTCTGATTCCCTCTCTGACTATGGCTGGCAACCTCTTAGTGACTCACACAGGCATAAATCCAACTTAATTTGGATAAGTTTTTTTTTGTCTTTGTGAAGGTCGGAGCCCTCAACTGATCATAAACTATTATCAAATTTCCTTTCTAAAGACATATTTGGCCTGATGCAGCTCTACTAACATGGTCATTATTGTTGGCATGGGGATAGCAGAGACATGTCCAGTTTCCTATAGTTGGATGAACTGCAGATATGTGTTCATTAGGGATTTTGAAAGGACCCTCAGGAAGCCACAGAAAATATTTGTTGTTGCATGTCTACTAACAAAAACCTAACCACAGTGTGAGTGAAAGTTGCAAAAATTTCAGGTGTAGAACTAAAAGTGTAGAAATGGGAAATTTTTTGTTCTACACAACCATTAGAGGAGCTACCTTCAATTTTCATCTCAGGAACCCTACTAGATGCATCTTTTTCAGGAGGTGGCATAATTTTGCCTGCTCTGAATTCATGCTCGAGATCTCTGATTCTGAGTCCTGATCCATGTGTATTCTCTGTGTGTGTGAGAGTGTGTGTGATTGGTGATCCATGCATTTGACAAGGCAGGGTGTAGTCTATGAAAGCTCAGGCAACAAAAACTTGCTAACATTACGGATTAACACCGGCAAAGTGGGCTAATGTTATACAGTTTTCTGTAACATGTTAATCATAGTTATGTCAGGAAAAGAGAGAGGATTAATTGATGCAAAATGGATTTTCATGGGCACCTGCCTGATAAACACCAGAATGAATTGTAATGTCAAATAATTTCCCTGTAAGCACTGTATTAGTCATGCCTATTAGCAGTGACAAATAGGTCAGGGTACATGACTATATCAAAAGCCAGGTGCTATTATTTACTGAAATGCTGCCAGAATGATAGCAGCTATTGTGATTCTTTTTGATGCAATGAGAAGCCTTCCCTTACTTTCCCATGAAAAATTACACTAGCGACAAGTCAGTCTAGATTGTAATTCCCTCTCATTTTATACGTGATGGTAATTATTCTATCAATCCATCTTGATTTTTCAGTGTATGTGGATTATTATAATACATTTGAGGATTTTAGGGTTCATGGCAATCCAAAGGATGTTCCTAGTACAATGGTTCTCAACCTGTGGGTCCCCAAGTGTTTTGGTCTACGTCTCCCAGAAATCCCAGCCAGTTTACCAGCTGTTAGTATTTCTGGAAGTTTGAGGCCAAAACATTTGGGGACCCACAGGTTGAGAAGCACTGTCCTAGTATGTGGTTAGTCAGATCAGACACTAACATGGTTTGGTCCATTTCAGGCCTTGTATTTTTAGTTGTGGATTTCTTCTTGTAATGCAAACTTGAAGTACTGACATTCTTATCTGCAAGAAATGAGCATTCGTCTATTTTTTATCATTTCTAGAAATTGATAATTGTGCCAGGAAACTGTGCTTACAACTGGGCAACTTGGTGAAGGAGAAACATGGCTTTTTGCTCCTGTTCCTTTTGTTGATTTTAGTACATGCCCTCTATATATACAGATGGGCTCCATTATGAACTTCCTTATTGTAGGAATCTATTTATACTTGGTAGCAATTTTATTTGCATTTTGTTATGTGTCCGTTCATTTCCATTTCTACAACATTTTGTGTTCTTTTGGTTTTTTTTAAAAAAAGAGATAAAAATTATTTTTCTTATCCATAACCATCTCTAATTGTGACCTCAAATGCATATGCACTTTCTCTTAAAGGTAAAAGTTTTCCCCTGACATTAAGTCCAGTCATGCCTGACTCTGGAGGTTGGTGCTCATCTCCATTTCTTAGCCAAAGAGCCAGGATTGTCCATAGACACTTCCAAGGTCATGTGGCCAGCATGATTGCATGGAGCATCGTTACCTTCCCACTGGAGTAGTACCTATTGATCTACTCATATTTGCATGTTTTCGAACTGTTAGGTTGGCAGAGGCTAGGGCTAACAGTGGGAGCTCATGCTGCTCCCCGGATTCAAACCTGTGACCTTTTGATCAGAAAGTTCAGCAGCTCAGCATTTAACCCACTGCACCACCTGGGGCTCCTGCACTTTCTCCTAACACATGCATTTTGGGCATATATAAAAGCAGCATTTGGGATAACTTTAGAATATACATGGTTTTGGATGCAACTCTGCAGAATACATACATGCTATCTACATAATATTTGAGCCAAGAACTATCTCACAAAAGAGAGAGACATATACTATTTCAAGGATGCCTCTGCTATCATCTACATATATAGTTAGAGAAGTATGAATTAGGTGGCTAATGTCATCACTAATGGCAACCCTGAATGTGTACAAAACAATTTTGTACAATTAAACATTATTTGGATAGAAAGGAGGAGGGTACAATGATCATATGCAACTGAGATGAGGAAATTTTGCATCTGTAGAATCTGAAGCAGAAGTCAGTGTAGCTCTCAGGTTGCATCATGTAGCCTGGTGTTTTTTTTAGTGACAGATGAATCACGACGTCCCATTGTTTTATGAAATGGGAGTGGCTGTAAGGGCTGGTCTCTAGGGATGTCTAAGTGTTCCTAACATAGAATTCCTAGTAAACAATACATGTGCCAATTATTGCAGAGAGAGACTTCTTCTGGACATGTTTACTTCATCTGGCACCATGAGAATGGATCTAGAGAAAGCTGGAGATAAAGACAGTAAGTAAAATGACAGAGGAATATGCTCTTCTTGGTGTACTGTCTCACTTAACAGTATTTTATCACTGGTTTTTTGCTATATAATGATTTTTGACATTTTGCTATAGTTAGAAGAGTACTGAAGTGTGACTGAAAACCCAATGCAGGGTTGCCTTGGAGGACCACATCTGTTGGATTCATTTCTTTGGCTTTCCCTATCTTTGCAATTCTGCACTGTGTTTGTTCTGCACTTCTGACAGCATAACAAGGTGCTGAAAAAATATTAGGGCCCAGAAACCAGTTCTCTAACTTATATGAAAGTGATGTGTGTTTAAATCAAGTATCTTAAAAAGATGAAGGAAGTATGAGTTCATTGTGTTCATGAAGAGTTTGCAGAAAGTTATCAGCTACACTTCGCGGTCTTGACGTGTCTGAATAGAAGGGGATTCAATGGAATTTTCACCCAGGTAAGCGTATACAGGAATGCAGATTGGATCCTGATGTGAGGAAGCGAATATTTTTATTATTTTGATGACAAAAGGATTGGAGCATTCAGTAAGCCCAGGAATATCACAATCTTGGTAAAGCTAAGCTGAAAAGCTATTTTCTTTAGCAGTTCAAGCTGTGTGTGAAAGGCAAAATAATCTTCTGATGTATTAAAAAAGATATAAAGTGCTTTATCATGTTCTCTGTATGTCTAATCTTTCTTTGTAATGAAATATTTTGTTTCTTCTTGTGTTGTTACACATCTAAGCACACGTAAGAGGCAAGTTCTTACATGCAATAGTCTCTATTTACAAAGGATGCTATTTTATTTGCTTGTGATAGCCTTTCCCTAGGAAAAACATCATCCCTGTTTAAGAGCTTAGAAAAATTACTTCCAGGATTACTAGTCCCAGAATCCATAGTCAACATGTTGAAGCTATGCTGGTTTGTGGTTTTGGACTTTTAGCTCCCAAAATCTTTTCCCACTTGTCAGATGAATTGCCTTTTGGGAGATGGTTAAAGTCCATCATCACAGAAGTAAAGTGTTGATAGCCTCTATTCACCACCTCAGTGGTGCAGGATGCAACTTCAATATCCCTGTCAGTCTTGATGCTGAGATACCTCCACTGATAGAATGCCCAACATATCTCCAGGCAATGGGTTCCAGGCCTGAACAGTATGTACTCTTAGGATGTTTCTCCTAAGGTGAAAATGAGGTTGTTTCCCTGCATTTTTCCATCTTTTATTTCTATCTCAATTCTTTACATGATAGCATTCAAGCAGTTGAACTCTGATATCAAACCACCCATTCAGTAGCAATTAAACTGAAACACACACCAACATTTGATTACCTGCTAATATAACAACTACCAGTCTTTAGAAGTCAGGTTTGTACATGGGTCCCATATGGGAGAAATGCCATGTATCAATCAATCAGTCTTTAGTTTAATTATTTTATTGTTTTCAATTGCATAACTTTTTGTAAGGCACCCTGAAATCTTTGTTGTAGTGCAAGCCATACCTATTTTAGCACATTTTAAAAGTGTTCCATTGCAATATATTCCTTATGCAAAGACACACTGGAAAAAAAAGTCTGCTCAAATAGTAAGTGCTCCTCAAAACCTGTATGGAACAAAGACTATCCCCCTTCAGTCAGAATCCTGAATGAATGAACTTGGAACAGTCATTGATTTAAACAACAAAGGGTTAATCCCAACTGAAGTATATCCATTGAATCACTGGTTGACTTATGAATCTTTACACAGGTTTTCTCTGTTTGAGACTAACAATATGATCTAAACCATTGCCTCTCAAGTCTCTATCTCCCTCATGGAGTTGTTAATATGGGGATAATATTTTTTTATTTATTTACTGTATTTTTGCCCCTCTCTATCTCACCTTGAAGGGGACTCAGAGGGGCTTCCAGACTGGCAACAATTCAATACCACAACAAACAAAAACATACAAATACAATAATATGGACCACACATGCCACCCTCTGAGGCTTTTGGATAAAAGGAGGATTATAAATGTAATAAATAAATAAATAAATAAATGATTTGTGTTGCACTTCTAGCATTATGTGTTGTATGAAACATGTCTTAGATCAGCTCCTTCTCTCCTGACCTTCAGGAAAAAAACTTAAGTTGTGGCTTTGGGACCAAGCTTTTGACAAATAAGTGGAGCAGTGCAATTAAGTAAATATGAATAAATTGAATGGCCCTGGATAACGTTTTGGATGATGTGATTTTAATTGATGTTTTTAATAAGTTAATTTTTAATTGTTTGGTTTTAATTGTAATTGTGTATTGATACATGTGTGTTTGGCATCAAATTGCTGCCTGTTGTAAGGTCGCCTTGAGTCCCTCCAGGTTGAGAAAGGAAGGATACAAATATAGTAAATAAATAAATAAATTTTAAAAAGAATAAAACAAACAATTTTGTTATGTTACATTTACAAACACAGCCTACTCTAAAAGCCAGTGTAGAGTAAGTGCATTACACAAAAGCATGTTCCTATTTTTATTTCTGAACAACTGGAGAACATGAAAGTGGCTGTGCAATTTTGGGCGATGATACATTGGGCTGGGACATGATCTATCACAGCACTGAAATGCTGCTGCAAGATTACAGTTATTATCATAGATTAAATCAATGGTCCTAAGTGGGAAATGGCGAGGTCATTTTCTGGCTTGTGTGATGTACATGATTAAGGCGATATATGGACTGTTATTTCTGTGTATTTGTCATATGTTCTGTGCAGCTGCAAAAAAGAAATAATAAAAGAAATAAACCTTGTGACTTTAATCACAGAGGTGAGAGGCAAGATTGCAATGGTCTCAGATAGAACATGCAAAGTATTGCTTCACACACTGTTTTCCCCTTTAGCAGCACACTGCTTTTAAGAGTTTAGAGCCAGGTTGGACATCGGCAGGATGAAAAAGGGTATGCTTCAATGCTTGATGTACCTTGTATATAACACACCTACACACATATTCAAGCTGCACTGGGAAAATTAAAAAAACAACACTACAACTACCACATACAAACAGCTTACAAGGATTTGTAAGTTTTTCAGGCTGTATGGCCATGCTCTAGAAGCATTCTCTCCTGACGCTTCGCCTGCATCTATGGCAGGCATCCTCTTACAAGGAAAAAGGGGAAAAAACTAACTAGAACCATATATAACTCTAATGGCAGGAATTGCCTATCACAGTGTATGCTACATAAATTTACATATAATTAGCCAAGTAGCTGAGGCATTAAGGAACCCTGTTAGTGAATATTGACTAGAAAGAGTATTCTGGTCCCAATACACACTGGTCCCACTGTACATAGGTCTTGTCTCAATGTGCATCAGTCACTTTGCTTACCCACCTACATAGTAACAGAACAACTGTCCCTTACTGGATACAGATGTTGCAGAGCTGCCAAATCCTAATTCATAGAATCATAGATTTGAAAGAGACCTCAAAGGGATTGGGAAACTTTCACAGTCACTACATAATCCCTAGAGACTATCGGCCTCATCACAACCACTTCGCAGATGAAATCTCTCACATAAGAGCTGACTTAGATGATGTAAGCTCAGCCAAAGTCAACAGCAACTCTATGAGTGGGATTACACTGGATCGGTTTTAATTGATGAGTACTGTTGATGTGAACAAGCTGTTGGGGCATTTAAGGAAAACAACCTGCTTTCTTGATCCTTGTTCCTCTTGGCTTGTCATCCAGGAAGAAGATGCAATTTGATCTCAACTACAACAATTTTTAATGCATCTCTCAGGGAGAAGAATTTTCCATCCTGTTTTAAAGAAGCAGTAGTTAGACTGCTGCTAAAGAAACCCTCCCTGGGTCCCCCAGACTTTAATTACAAATCAGTGTCTAACCTGACTTTTTTGGGAAAGGAGTTTGAGAAGGCAGAATCACTGGGTTGAAAGAGACGACAAGGGCCATCCAGTCCAACCCCCCACCATGCAGGAAAGGAAAAATCAAAGCACCCCTTTAACAGATGGCCATCCAGCATTTGTTTAAAAGCCCCCAAAGGCGGAGTCTCCACTACACTCTGAGGCAGATAGTTCAACTTTTAAACAGTCCCTACAGTTAGGAAGTTCTTCCTAATATACAGGTGAAATCTCCTTTCCTGTAATTTAAACCCATTGCTCAAAGTCCTAGTTTCCAGGGCAGCAGAAAACAAGCGTGCTCCCTCTTCTTTATGGTATCCTTTTAAATATGAATGTCATAAGAGAAGGTTGAGAGGAGACATGACATTGGCTATCATATCTCCTCTCAACTTTCTCTTCTGCAGGCATAACATGCCCAACTCTTTAAGCTGCATCTAATAGAGTATAGTAGAAAAGGGATATCTTATAACCATATAACATTGGTGAGAAAATCCATCTCTCCATGCCCCCTCCCCCAAATATTATTGTAGAGATGGTTGCTAAACTAAGAGGGGACAGGTGAAACTTGGCTAGGATACTGGTCTAGAGGAGAGGTATTTTCTAAAATAAAATAACATGTGATCTTAGTATTCGTTCCGATTTTTGTAGTACAGCCAAGCATGGGATAAAAAATCAGAACTAATATTAAGATCATGTGTTATTTTTATTTTAGGAAATATCAGATTTTAAGAGGGTATTTTCAGAAATCTCGTGGAGGCTATGTCATCTAGTTTGGTATTCTTCTGTAGGCTAGTAAGATCAAGTACCTTAATTTGGGCTTATGTCATGATTAAAGAATTGTTATTGGCATCTATATCCTCATCAAAAAATAAAATCAACTTCTATGGACTAATGTGTAAACCCCCCCCCCCCCCCATATATGTAGAAGAATAAAGAGATTATTTTTGCCTCCATAAAGAATTGTAACTGTTTTCAGCAGAAAGGACTACTTTATCAAATTGATGAATGATGGCATTGATTCTCTTTTACTAATGTTAGGGTTGTACACTGTTAGACAATGGCATTTCCTGGAGCTTCCACAAGTAGTTATTTTTCTTCTGTGGACTTTAAAAAGCACATAAAACACTGTAGCATTGTGGCTAAGAAGAAACAAATTGTTTCTGCGGTAAGCATCAGGTTCACTTATTGTTGTAGCTCAGCAGGAACATATTTTTTTGGAAATGCACATAATGGAAAGAACATCTGCTGTCTTAAGATTACTCTTGGTCTACTTTTAAAATAGAGGTTGTAAAGTTTCACATTAATAAGACAATGCTAATTATCACAGTGTTTGCTATGAAAAATAAACTGGGACTACAGAATTGAAAACTAAAAACACAATAGTTTTCATTTTAAAACTAATCTAAGTGTGTTTGAAATAATAAGAAGCCACTTTTCCTCTCTTAAAAGAGATTCAAAGTGGCTAAAACTGCATATAGAGTAATCTGGAGGCACTGAGGTGGGTGGGCACACATTTCTTCCTTCTGCCTGAATTCCTGTATGCCTCAAGCCATGCCATGGCAGCTGCATAGACCTCTCACTGTATTATATTAAATTCCGTTATAGAGCTTCCATGACTGGGAATGCTGATAAGGCTGAGCCCTCAGTCATGAGAGCTCTGCAACCATTGTAAACTGAACATGATTACAGAGTCCCATATATCCTTTATATGCTATGTTTAATATATCCTTGCACATAGCAATGTCTACAAACATATTTAGTTTCATCCTATGAATGACTTATCTCAGTAGGGGCAGTAACTTCACTTACTGCAACTAAGCGGTTGAAAATTAGTTTGGAAGACTAGAGATTTTATCACATCAACCCACAATTCCACTACAGTTGCATTCGTGTAATGGATACATACCTGGTTGTGCAGTTTTGATATTGCACCTCTTTAGAGTAGCACAATGCTGTTCCACTCCACTACTTCATCACACTAGAGAGAATGAATCCACTTTAAATCTGGTTTCTGCCTCCTGCAGAATTCTGGGGTTTGTAGTTTAGTGAGGTTGTTAAAGGCTCCTCCCTAAACTACAAATTATGCAGGAGGCAGCAACCAGATTTATAGTGGATTCATCCTCTAGCATCAGGCATACAATGTGTCTCAGAACTGGCATTAAGGCCACAGTGCCCTAAGCCACTTCCAAGGTAGGACTTTGATTGGACAGCCCAGCCATGTCAAAACTGGTTTGACAAGCTTGGGCATGAGCTCATTTCTACCTTCTCCACCCCTCAAAATGACATAAAATCCCACTTTACCAGAGATCCATGCTCTTTATTTCCTGATTTTTTATTATTCAGGGGACAAAGGAGCCTGGGAAGAATAAGCCCCCACTAATCTTTCAAAATGATAAAGAATTGGGAAGTAAAAAGCATGGAGCTCAAGTAAGGGCAATTTTCTGTTGACGTTTTTGGGGAGGGGGTGCAGGGGTGGAGGAAGACACTGCTATCCCATCCTGGACTGTGTGTGCACGGGGAGTGTGGGATGGCTGTGGAGATACTGTCCTGGATCTTGCATAGGGATCTAGGATGGAAATCCTTACTGCCCCAACACTGGGAAAGGTCTGGATCTTGCTGCATGATTTGAATCTTTCCTGGTGTTCTTTTTAACCCCCTAATGCAAATTCCTACACTGCATTATATGGCAGTGTACATGGGCCAAAATTATGCTGAATCAGTATTCCATGGTCCCACAATTATACTTCTATACACCCTTGTAAGTGCATTTTCCTAAACCACTGAAATTCCTTTATTTATTACTAACTTTTTTTATTTTTAGTGCAATTGTGCAATTTCAGCATTAATAACAAAAGTGGCAAAGATGTATACAAAATAAAAGGAAGATGGCCAGCTTGGGAATAGTGAGAGGGGCACATAAGAGGGACAGAGGAATTTTGTCCCCTGATGTCATCCTGCTTGCACAGAAGTGGAAAAGACCCATCGCATTAAGGTGATAGGAATGTAGTAGTATTGGGATTTATTGATGAGTTTTACCTGTCAATATCCAGGGAGGGGTGCAAATTGGTTTCGATGAGATTGTCACCAAAGGTGATGGACCAGCTGCAGTGCTGGTTTGCATGTGATGACTCCTATGCTGTATAATTATAAAAATGCCTATGACCTCATTTGGGCACACAGAATTCAGTACCAAATGCAGCATGCCCCCTAAATATTTCTCCCTGTGGCCTTTAGTGTGTCATCATTACAAATTATCTTCATTCTTTCCCTGACACATTAAACCTCTGGCATGTGAAATAAAAACATGACACATTGTGCACTGGAGAGCAATTTTCTATGGACGGTATCTCAGATAAAGACAGCAATAGTAGGGCTGAGAAGTGCAGGCAGGTACATGACACAGTAGTTCATACAGACCAGATTCTCAAATCCAGACTGCAGAGATCCAGATACTACTCCTTGCCCACTCCCGTGCTTTCCTTGCGTGTTCTTCATGAAGAATCCTGTTGCACATTAGTCCCCTTGCACATTGGTCATATACACATACTGTGTATATTTCCTAGTTCAAAATGACGGAAAACCGTTCCCTGTGACACCTAAAAAGACCCCCCCCCCCCAAGTTGTTGTTTTAATCAAAGGCCAGAAAAGCTCTAATTTAAAATGGGTTTTAAGAAGACAGACTGAAGTTGCAATACTGTATCTATATCTTTCTTGCAGGGTTTTTGCCATTATTCATAAAGCCCCCTTCTACACTGACATATAATCCAGATTGTCAAAGCTAATAATTGACATTATCTACTTTGAACTGAATCATCTGAGTCTACACTGCCATATAATTCAATTCAAAGCAGATAATCGGCATTTTATATAGCAGTGTAGAAGGGGCCAAAGACTCAATTTAAATCATTTTCTCATCTCTTTTCTTTTATCTCTGCTATTATCATTTTCAAAACCTCACAATATTCAATGACTTAATTGATCTCAAGGTTCCATTTTGCCTTAATTGAACAATCTGCTTATTTGCTTATGTCTCCAACAGCTAGTCTGGATCTGGAATCAGAGCCTGAAAGCCCTTTCCTGCCCTCTAGAGATCTGTTAGAACCACTTGGCCATTATGAATGGACATTTCGTGACCATGGTAAGGGTGCATTCTCAAACTTTTTCAGGGTAGGGAATATGAATGTACTGAGCTTGTGCCAGCTTCAGGATTATCAGGAGAGGGCCCTCTCTTAACCTCAGAGGCATGTTTAGTGAGAGTATCAGGATCACAATAGGAATAAATCTCAAAGTAAAGTCAACAGTAGTAAGGAGGCAGAGTGAAAAAGGACCAGGAGTAATGGGGCAGCAGCAATTTATACTCCTGAATCTAGTTAGTTAGTTAGTGTGAAATACAGTCGGCTGATTGAATTGATAGTTTAATCATGAGTCACCATGTAGGTAGGCCTCATGGAATCAATGGATGTATTCTAATGAGGGCTACTAATAGGATTCAGGCAGGCAAGGAGAAAATAGTAGGCCTAATAATTGCTCTGTCAGAATTTAGGTAAGTAGGTGGATTATATTATAGAGATTACCATATATACTTGAATATAAGCTGAGTTTTTCAGTCTTTTGGGGGGCTGAAAAAACCTCCCTGGGCTTATATTTGAGACAAGGAGAGTGGAGGATTTTACCTGCTGAGGAGGAGGAGGAGGTGAGGAAGGCCAGGGTGTAGCCAAGAGAAGAAAGTCTGCTGCTGTTGCTTCTGCGGGGAGGGGACTTGAGGAGCCCATTTGCCATCCTCCTCCTCCTCTTGCCACGCTGTCGCCACCGCTTTGTCCTCTTCCTCTCCTTCCTCCTCTGCTTCGAAAGAAGGGGAGGAAGGAGAAGAAGAGGACAATGCTCACCCTGCAGCCACGGTGCTGCTGCTTATATTTGGGTCAGCTTATACTTGAATATATATGGTATATTATATTATATTTTAATTTAAAGCCTACTCTGTGAAATGGAGGCAAGAGAGAAATCGTTCTTTGCTGCCATGATTGCATTTACAAGGAACTGTCCAACTAAGCTGTTTTGAGTGGACAGAGGAATATTACATACTAGTCCTCAGGGAGAAATCCCTGACCATTCAGCAACCCACTGTAAAGAATTTGCAAGACACTTTGCAGATAAAGTCACTCAGATCCATTCCTAATTGGATGCTGTAATTGATATAATTCCAATGGATGTAACTTTGGCTCCTGCCTGTCCAGTCTTGATGGATACTTTTCAGTTTGTGCAGCCTGAGGATGTGGACAGGATCCTTGGAAAGGTTAAGGCTACCACATGTATTCTAGATCCTTGCCCTTCCTGGCTGATCAAACAGGCCAGAGGGGGACTGCCAAAGTGGTGAAGGTGGTGGTCAATGCCTCCTTAGAACAAGGTAAAGTTCTCGCTTGCCTAAAGAAGGCAGTTGTGAGACCTATATTTAAAAAGCCAACCCTAAACTCCTCTGCCAGTCTCCAGCCTTACCTTTCTGAACAAGATTTTTGAGCAGGGATTTCTGGATGAATTGAATTATCTAGACCCATTTCAATCTGGTTTCAGGCTTGGCTATGGAACAGAGACAGCTTTGGTTGCCTTGGTAGATGACCTCCACAGAGAGCTAGACAGGGGGAGTGTGTCCCTGATGGTTCTCCTGGACCTCTCAGCGGCTTTCAGTACCATTCACCATGGTATCATTCTGGGTCACCTCGCCAGGATGGGGCTGGGAGGTACTGGCTCTGGTTCTTCCTGGAGCCCTTACCCAGAAGGTGGTGTGGGGGGCAGGGGGACTCCTGTTGGAACCCTTGGCTGTTGATCTCCAGGTTCCATTTTGTTCTCCATGCTGTTTAACATATACTTGAAACTGCTAGGACAGTTCCTCCGGAGTTTTGGAGTATGGTGCCAACTATATGCAGATGACACGCAACTCTACTACTCGTTTCCACCGAATGCCAAGAAACTGTCCTAACCCTAAACTAGCGCCCGTAGTTTATAGGTCCTTTGATAATTCTCATCTAGAATTTTTTTGCGAGGAATTCAGACCTGTTATTTTTCTCAACATCTATTGTTCAGCTTGTATGATGAAAACAAAATGGCAAAAACTCATTTCAGTGTTTCCAGTACAGATATAGAAATACATTATTAATGGACATTATTAAAGACAGTTCAGTCCAGCAAAGAACTGAGCATATGAAAGATATTGTGCAGACAGGTTGATAAATGGCAGTATTTAATAATGACAGAATAATAATGGAATAATTTTAAGACAATGTTCTCCTTGACGACTAGATATAAACAACTGCAGTTACAGATATCTGTCATGTTCTGTTCATAAATCTTCCATTTAGCTGTCAAATGCCAGAAGATCGAATGTATAATGATAACACTTCTTGTTTTGAAACAAGCATTGGTATTATAAGACATTTTCCATTAGTTTCCAAGTCTTCTTTGATATTGTGTCTGCTTATATGAGAAAATCCTTGAAAAACAAAACTAATTCTTCTTTAAATTAGGAAGGAAAAAATTAGTTCCACCTCCAGAGATGACGCAGAGGTTCAGTATACAGAGAAACAACTCTGTGTTTGTGGAATGCAGGTAAGAAATCTCTGTTTAATTGTAATTCTCGAAAGTTGCTAGCATCATCATGAACTGATGCCAATGCAGGTATTGCTACCCACCCACCGGCTGTAAGGAATTGTGGGAGCTGAAGTCCAAAACACCCAGAGGGCTGAAGTTTGCTCATGCCTGGGCTATTGTCTCCATTCAGTAGCCCACAGGACTGGCCAAGGTCAAAAATCTCTTCATTTTTCTTACCTGGAAAGATTTTATTTGCTTGATATCAACTAGACCTTTACTAACTTATGCTTTGGAATGAAAAAAACATGCTGTAGGATTGTATGAAAAATTATCAATGTGTCTGGCTTCCTGTCTTGCAGTTATGGATTAATAACCTAGAGCTACGGATCCATAATTGCTTTCTTTAGACTAGAAAAAAAGAAAAAATAACCTCTGCTTAATTTCAAACTCAGCCAGGTGTGATAAAAGGTGAATTTAACAGTCCAGTCCAAAAATACTCAAGGAAACTCATCTTTGTTGACTAGAACATACTCAACAGCTCATCAAAGATGTAAGAGGGCTACCACAGTTTGTAGGGAAATCTGGCACAGCTGTGCTGTGTTCAGTCTCCCCCCCCCTCCCCTACACACACAGTTCAGGTTTTCTAAGGGACAGTAATAACAATGGATAAAAGCAGTGTTTCTGCATCAACAAAAAGACAATTTTAACTACTTTTCGCACAAACAAGCTGAGGAAAACCAAAGTACAAGCAGTCCCTGAGTTAAGGATATCAGACTTGCAAATGACTCAGAGTTAAGAATGGGGGAGAGACAACAGGAGCCTCCGGTGGTGCAATGGGGTTAAATCTTTGTGCTGACAGGACTGAAGACCGACAAGTCAGAGGTTTGAATCCAGGGAGAGCATGGATGAGCTCCCTCTGTCAGCTCCAGCTCCCCATGCAGGGACATGAGAGAAGCCTCCCACAAGGATGGTAAAACATAAAAACATCCAGGTATTGCCTGGGCAATGTCTTTGCAGACAGCCAATTCTCTCCTACCAGAAGTGACTTGCAGTTTCTCAAGTCGCTCCTGACATGCGGGAAAAAAAAACCCAGAAATTGAGAGAAAATCTATCCCTCGGAAGGGAAATTCACTCCTGGAAGAGTTATCTGAGTCCTCTTGGAAAGAGAGGGCAGCCTGATGATGATGATGATGATAATGTATAATGTTTGGATTATTGATGTTGCCATACTGGTTGACAGTCGCATTGAGGAAAAGCAACAGGAAAAACTCAGCCGTTATCAGGACCTCAAAATCAAATTGCAAAGGCTCTGGCATAAACCAGTACAGGTGGTCCCAGTAGTCATTGGCACACTGGGTGCCGTTCTAAATGATCTCAGCCGGCATTTGGACACAATAAACATTGACAAAATCATGATCTGTCAACTGCAAAAAGCCACCTTACTTGGATCTGTAGCTATTAAACTCTGATCTCAGAACGGTTGGGCAACGTGATTGGTTAATGACTGGTAATGAAATGCGGAGGACTTAGGGTTTTTATTGTGTTACTGATGTTAATTGTAATGAATGTTTACCTCTGTTAAATGTTTTAATGTTTAAAGTATTTTTGTACTGTTGTGGGCATCGAATTGTGCCATTTTGTAAACTGCCATGAGTCGCCCTTGGGCTGAGAATGGCGGTATAGAAGCATAGTAAATAAATAAAATAAATACATAAATCTGTTCACTTCATTGGAAATACATCACACAGTCCTAGATGCTTGGGAAGTGTTCGACTTGTGATTTTGTGATACGAAATCCAGCATATAGATCTAATTTGCTGTGACATACTGTGTTTTTGTGACAGTAACATAATTATTATTATTATCATCATCATCATAATCATCATAATTGCCATCATCATAATTGTTGGGAAAAGGAGTCTCAAGTGAAGCTTTCTCACCAATCTTTGTTTCCACAACAAGCCAGTTTTCAAAATCCAATTATCACAGGCACAGAAAATGAAATCTTCCGAACAGGGGCCAGACAACAAAACAAACAGCACTGGATGTTAACAGGTCCCTGTGATATCTGAAATTTTATTTTTGGCTGGAGTTCCAATTTACATACAAATTCAACTGAAGAACAAATCTAGAGAACGTGTCTTGTTGGTAACTCAGGATCTACCTGTAGTTGCAAAAAAGGATAAAAAGGAGACCGTGTGACTACAAATGTATTTTTGGGGAAAACAAAAGGGATCATGTGAATCCCATTTGGTTGTGACTGTACAACAAGCCAGACTATATATAGAATAGGTCCCAAAACAGATATACCCTGGCCTTTTTTTAAAAAAAAAGTATACTTTGAATAGGATTAAACATTACAATAGTAAATTATCACAAAATGGGAATAGAAATTCAAGGGAGGGATTCCAACTCTGTGCTTTGATAATGTGAGCAGGGCATTGTAGCACAGACATGACAATGTCAAAGCCTTATGATAAAATATTAATTCAAGATGCTATGTGTAACTCTGATTAACTTATCATTATCACATTTATTCCTCAATATAAATGTATTTACTTAGCTTTTAAATAATCACCATGCCTGCTATTAGCTGCTAAATAATGTATGCAATGGGGGGTGGGTGGGTTATAAATTGCGTATCTTGACTGTCTTCTGGCTTCAACACAAATGCCATCTCTTCTGTGTCTGTCATGCAAACTAAATAAATAAATTGGGTTTTCTGGATCTATTATTTATCTTATCCGTCACAGGTATACCTGTGTGTGTATGTGTTTTCAAAATGACTGTGTGTTTAACCCGCAGGATCCCCCAAATGACGGAAGACACCGCCAGGAATGCGCTCCTCAGCTTCGTCAATTCCAAGTGTTGCTATGGCAACAGAGCAGTACGAGAACTCGTCATTCAGGAGCTGAAGCCTCAGAGGTTGTGCAGAGTGAGTCCCCACCAGGTCCAGATTACATTAAGTTAGGCAGGTGAAATTGAAGGGTTCACAAAGAACATTATGCTCTCCTCCACTGGACTGATTTCAATGAGAGTTTGCCCTCTTTCAGGTCTCAAGAGGAGTTCTTGAGCTTGAGCATATTTGGAAGATGCTTTCCCTATTGTGAAGCCACTTCTCGAACATCTTCAACGTAACCGGTCATGGTCACCTAGTACTGGAAGATGCTGAGATCACATTTGCTCAGAGGCATTCAAGGGCCCTACAATGAAAATACTCAGCAATAGCACCAGATGGACATGTTGATTTTTTCTCTCTCGATTGGGACTCAATATAAGCATTTAAACATAAACAGCTATAGAGCAAAGTTTCTCTTACAACCCCCACCTCCCCAAAGATCCAAATCCCCCCTTAAAAGTTTCCAAATATTTGGGTGTGAAGAAAAGTAATCCAAAGCATCAGTTTTGTGAATTGTATCACTTATTCCCACCCTGAATTAGGTGATTAAGCCCTGGAAAAACTTGGAAATGTAAACAAACTGACTTTCAGAGTCAGATTTATAGTTTATTTTTGCACCAACTTTGGTGCACTGAGGCCTGCCTGAGGTGTATGTGGGCACAGCTACCTTTTCCACCTCTACTACAGATCCTCATTCCTGTGAAAAGGATTTTCCATATTCACACAAGCTTTAAAATGTAGCTGTCTACATTCTGACCCTTAAGGGCTGTGTTATTTGGACTGTATAAATATAGTGTGATACCTGCACTTTTGTCCATTCAAATTACAGGCTTGGAGTTGCATGGTGGTTAGTGGCAAAATGGTGGCTTTACGTATCAGATTTTATTTCTTCTTTAGAACAGACACATTTTTCCAAGTCTGTGCAACTGAAAATTTGAAAAATTTTAACCACATGCTGAAGTCATGCATAACTGAGGCCCCGTCTACACTGCCATATAATTCAGATGATTACACCAGATAAACTACATTATATGCTTTGAATTGGATTGTATCAGTCTACATTGCCAGATAATCTGGGATAAGCAAATAGCCTGGGATCAGATCCTGGAAAATAGGGCAGTGTAGATCCAGCCTGAGTAATCATAAAGCATTGTTTTATCACTGCTCAATTCTTCTGTCATTCTTCTGAGGTGAATTTCTAAGCTTTGAACTAAGGGCCCTTCCACACAGCCATATAACCCAAAATATCAAGGCAGAAAATCCCACAATATCTGCTTTGAACTGGGTTATCTGAGTCCACACTGCCATATATTCCAGTTCAAAGCAGATAATGTGGGATTTTATTCAACTGTGTGGAAGGGGACTAAGCTATCATGCAGCCAAAGCTACCATTCTATCCTATATGGCAACAAAATGTATCCGCATGGGGAGAAGATTTCTTTTTATTGATCACTTTGGCAAAATCTGGCATTGGTTTGGTTCTCATGATTGTAACATGCAACCTTTTGAAGACAGCCTCTTGCTGAATAAGATTTAAAGTGAAAATATTTCCTATAGACAGTCCTAATATCATGGTCCAAAAATAGCATTTAATTTTAAAATTTGTTTCTCCACAGTATCGACTAGAGACCTTTAATGAAACAAGATTATGTGAATGGACTTTTGAACCTTATACCAGTAAGTAGTTCAGTGGATATCTTTGACTGCAGTCAAATCAGTGAGCTCCAAAATGGAGGGTTTAGTCTGGTTTAATTAAATTCACATCAGACATCCTCAAACTGTGGCCCTTCAGTTTGGGCCTCTAACTCCCAGAATTGCTGATTATTGAGCAAGCTGGCTTGGGCTTCTTGGAGTTGGAGGCTAAAACAGCTGGAGGTCCGCAGTTTGAAGATGCCTGGTTCACACTATTATCCATTTCATAGTCAATGCAAGCTAAAATAGGATGATCAGCTGCTTGATTGGTGATGTTCAACATTTTGATTTGATGATTTTTAACATTTACACATGTGTGAACACTGCATAAAATTACTCACGTAGTGCTGCTTGGTAGAGAACCATTATAATCATTAGCATTCTAGCTTTCATTTATAGGCAACCACTTAACACATTGGTTTGTGATAGTGGAGACACACCGGGAATAGATTGTTTGTAGACACACTGGGAATAGATTGTTTGTAGTCCAAACAAATACCTGTATGCTGACCTTTTTAATTCCAGGTCAATCAAAACAATTAACAACCCCATAGCAGGAAATTCTGTGAGCTTAGCATCTTCTTTGAACATTTATATATATAGTTCATTTAATTCAACTTTATCTGGTATGTGCCCACCAGGTGTCTCAGTTTTCAACTCATTTCTTCATCAGAAAGCATAGTTAGTCCCTAGAAATTATATTAGTTTTAACTCAAAATATCTGAAGGGTGCCAAATGCGAATAACACTTATTGCTTCAAAGTGCTGATGCACTCTATAGAAAACAAGTATTTTTTTTACCACCCAGAGGACAAGTGTTCTTAACCATACATCAAGGGAACCTCTGACCACATTGGGAAGTTGATGAAGAAACATAACCTACAAACTATCTACAGACCCACTAAGAAAATCCAGCAAATGCAACGTTCAACAAAGGACAAGAAGGATCCTCTCACCTCTGTAGGAGTCAATAGTATACCATGCAACTGTGGACAAGTCTACATCGGGACCACCAGACGCAGAGCCAAAACACGAATCAAGGAACATGAAAGGCACTGCAAACTAACTCAACCAGAGAAGTCAGCCGTAGCAGAGTACTTGATGAACAAACCTGGACACAGCATATTATTTGAGAACACAGAGAAGCCATTGAAATCCACAAACATGTAGACAATTTCAACAGTGAAAATGAACAAAATCTGGCTACCAGTATTTAAAAAACTCAAAAATCATAACAGTAAATAAAGAACAACACTCAAAAACAGGGGAATTCCAGACAAGAAGCGATCAGAAACAGCTAATCACCTCCCAACAAAGGATTCCTCAGGGGTAAGAAGCCAGACCTTGAACCTGTCAGGACATTAAATGCTAATCAAGGTAATCAATCAAAACATTCACACCTACCTCAGACAAGAGTTCTTTCTCTCACCCTGGACATTCTACAGATATATAAACTCAATTTTTCTAGTTTCCAAGAGACCTCACAACCTCTGAGGATGCCTGCCATAGATGCAGGTGAAACATCAGGAGAGAATGCTTCTGGAAACATGGCCATGCAGCCCGAAAAACTCACAACAACCCAGTGATTCTGGTCATGAATGTTTTTGACAATACTCTATAGAAAATATTATTGTCAGTTATGTCTTTTACAACTGCGTGAAAAGACCTAAGTAGGCATCTGAAATATTTTTTCCTATTTTTTGAGAAATCAGCTATTGTGATAGTAGACAATGCTATTCAGGCAGGAACAATGCTGTCACTCTTTCTCTCTTTCTATATATACTTGCTCACCCACACCCACCTATTCATCACCACCATATGCTTGGAAGCAGTGTTAAGCTTTATATATTTTTATGAGGCTAACTTTTAAAACAAGACATTTTTAGTTATGTAGCCAAAAGGTGTAAATAATTTTAGTTCATACTTTATTTATTTACCGTATTTCTATCCCGCCCTTCTCATCCCAAGGGGGATGCCATATCAAAGTATAAACATAACAAATTATAAATACATTAAACAGAAAAATCATTAAACATAAGACAATAATATATAAATACAATTAAAACAAGATTTAAAACATCAATTAAAACAACCACATAGTTCATCATCAGAGTCCATGAGCCATTTCAGTTACAGTCACATTAATTCCCAGTTGTCTATTGCATTGTTGCTAGCTTCTGAATGCGTGGTTCCAATTTACTTTTTTTCTGAATGCCATGAGAGAGGAGGCTGATCTCACATCACTAGGGAGGGAGTTCCATAGTTGAGGGGCCACCAGTGAGAAGGCCCTGTCACTCATCCCTACCAGCTGCACCTGGGAAGGAGGTGGAACTGAGAAAAGGGCCTCCCCAGAAGATCTTAATTTCCGTCCTTTATTGCATTAAAACTGACAAGAGGCTAGAGGTGTAAGCGTAGTGTGCATTGTTATTGAAAATCAGAATGTATGTTCTGTTCTCTGCCTGAGAGCATTTAGAGCATTCATAACTTTGGGTATGTAGTCTGTTCCTGTGTTTGAGGATCTGTGTCAAATGCTTCATGTGTTTTCTTTCACAAATGCTTGGAAGTCTCTCCTCCAGTTTGTCTTTTTGCTGAATTGGAGGAGGACTCTTCATCAGGCTGAAATGCTGAAGGAGGATGTGGTTACTGAAATTTTTCTTCATAGTCTGAGGAATACAATCTCTTTTGGGACTGGCATGGCAGAGAGAGGAGAGGGGCATAGTTTGGCTGACCCAAGATTACTCAAAGTGTTATGGGTTCATGGGAGTGTCAAAATGATTGTCTCAAGATTTAGTCTTTCATTCTAGCCATATTCATTTTTTGTTCCATTGGTGAATATGTTATTTTACATGTTCATACAATTTTCAGGTTGGGCTTTGTAATTTGATCCAGAAAGAAAGATTTCCAGCTACTTTGGTGGGGGAAGGGAAACTCTTTGAGTCCCCCTCAGCATAAATATATAAGATACTAAAATGTAAGAATCTGAAGTGTAATAATTTTCCCAGATTGGTAATAAACCTCTATCAAAGTACTTGGCATGACACTATTGTATGGATCAGCTGAGAGTTCCTGAAGAGAACATTGTGGTCAAAACATTCTCTTTTACAGTACAAGGTTCATTCTCTCCCTGCCTTGCCATCCTGTGTGTTTATGAAGATTTTTGTGCTGTGCTTGGTACCCAGAGGGAGTCATTATTATTTTTTAAAAGCAACTCTTGTCTAGCGCGAGAATTCGCAGTATGTGAAATACCTCAGTGGCTGTCAACGATGTCAGGCTGAAAGCCTCAGAAAGAATGAATTCACCTACTGATCCAAGAAAGAGGAACAGGTTATGCCAAAAAAATAACCACCCATAATCTCTGCACAATTTGACAGCCTTCTGTATAACTTGAGTATTTTGTCTGAGTCTTGACTTCTGTAGTCAAATGTGCAAATGTAACTACTATGGCAAAAGAAAAAGGTTAAGTAACTAGATGTATAGCTAATTTAATTTAGGAGTTTCATGTAAAGATAAATTAGATGAATTAATGTAACAATCAGGAATCTATAATGGAACATAGTGCTAAAACTTGTCCAGTGATATCTTTGGAATTGATGTCACACAGATGCATGGTGTCGTCGTTGTGAATATCCTCTTGTACCAGACCATACCACAATATGGTAGCTAAAATAACAGAACATATAAACAAAATCCATGACCAAAAAAAAAAGAAAATAAAAGCAGCAATGGAAACAATGGTGTGCTTGTAGTATCTGCAGGTGAAATCATGAGATTTGAAGTCATTGTAATTGAGTAATAATGACAGCCCTGACCAGAATGCAAGCTCATTAGAAGGTTAAAAAAGTAAGCTAGCATAGAGTTTTAGCCTTGGCGAAATATTGCTATAGTCAATGTCATTGTGGTTAAATCTAATTCCAGATATATTTTTAAATTTTAAAATACATTTCCATTGAGACACTGCACATTTTTTATGGAGTGTCATTTTGGCATCACCCATTCTGATAGTTTCACCCCATGCAGTTCTCACCTCCCCACCCCCAGTGATGTCAATGAACTTCCCTTCTTTTGTGGTGATACCTTTATTGGCAGTGTATTAACAGGTCACCATGTTTCTCCCACAGAGAAGTTAGCTTGCTCATCACCTGCTTGCAAGTGCAATTACTTTCTCCCTTCCTTTTCCAACCCAATTCGATCAGAGAGTCATGTAGTGCCACAAAGTAAAATGTCTGTCCAGTGTTCATTCTCAGTGAGAAAACCATCAGTAAGAAAAGCAAAAGATGAAACAACACCACAGGAATGAAGGGACAAATCTACCTTTTTCTTTCTCTTCCATGTCATCCTTCAATGGCTCTTTCTGCCATCCATAGTAAGAAATAGAGATAAAGATAAGTATAGTCACATGATGGTTGGTAGTTAGGAGAAACTCATGTCATCAAAGACAGTGACTGAACATCTGGACCTGGAGCGTTCCCTGTGGTTGTGATAGGGGAGGTATCTGTATGCTGCTCTGTGTCACCTTCGGGCTGAAAAGAACAGGATAAAAATGCTGTAAATAAATAAATAAATTGTCAAATATAGCCTATTAGATACATTTGGCCCCAGAGCTTTTTTTTCTAATTTTGGACAAAAAAAGAGGTTTCACTGTACTTAAAACAGGATCAGGATCACAAAAAGAGTCCCAAGTGCTAATTCTGGCCTTTTTAAACTTTTGATAGATCAACTAACATATTTCTTGGTCAGCAAAAAGGCTACCAGATGGGTGGGCAGCCCACCAGATTCCCAGGAACTCTTCAGCAAGTTTGATTTCAATGTACTGAAATGTGTTGCACTCTGAGCTGTAATGTGGCCCCAGTGTATTGTGTCTTCTTTGTAGCAAAATGTCATCACTAATGCTCCTTTTTCCTGTCAGATACTTTGGTAGATGGGCCACAAAATGGCACATCCCCGAGACCATGGGATATTAAAGTCCAAGCACCACAGATGTTTCAGGATGATACAAAAAAGTTTCGCGTACCTCATTCTTCTTTAGTCAAGGTAAATAATTTCTTGTTGGCTTGAAATCAAACTATCCTTCATAGATTTCAGATGGCACTGGGTAAATGTCTGAAAGTTATTCAGTAATATTGAATAGTTGCCATTGTCAAGGAACATTTATGAAGTTTTTTCTATCCTCCATGCCTCTTGTGTGAGATATATAATCCTTTCTGTGTCTGTCCTCTTGGCATCAGAGAAACGTTGATGCAATAGTTAGTGCTAAAGAGATAACACACTTTCTCTTTCAGTGGTCTTGGCTTTATGCGGGGCTTTATTGATCCTACATGGCAGGGGGTTGGACTAGATGGCCCATGTGTTCTCTTCCAACTCTATGATTCTATGATCAGAGTATCACACAATGGTGTTTTTCAGGGAACAATAATTAATTAATTAATTAATTAATTATTAATAATAATAAACAACTTTATTTATATCCTGCTCCATCTCCTTCAAGGGGACTCGGTGCAGCTTACATGAGGCCATGCCCATCAGTACAATACACAACAATATAACACAAAAACATAATAAAACCAAAAAAATACATGAAATGCAAAACATTGTAATCAGCAACACAACAATATAAAATCAGATATTAAAACAAAAGATTTTGCTGGGCAGGGCCAAATTCAGGATAAAAATTTAAAACACTGGGAGATAGGACAATGTCAACATCAAGAGGAGGATCCGGGATGAGGAAGGGTTTAATTGCATGAACCATAAGATAAAGTGCTATTGAGGTCATTTTGTGAAAAGGTTTTGGTCAGGGAGTATCTTATGTTCAATTACTGAAGGCACATTGGAATAATCAGATTTTCAGATTCCTCCTGAAGATTGCCAGCGTGGGGGCTTGCCTAATATCTCTGGTGAGTGAGTTCCAGAGCCAAGGGGCCACCACAGAGAAGGCCATCTCTCTTGTCCCCACAAGTTGCACTTGTGATGTGGGCAGGAGCGAGAGAAGGGCTTCTCCGGAAGATCAAAGAGATCGCGTGAGTTTGTAAATGGAAATAAAGTGTGAGGAGGCTCCATTAGGATATCTCATTTGGTTCACTGAAATGAATAATCTTTTACTTAAATTGACCTGCCATTGTACTGGATTTTCTGAAATTTCTAGACTACTGAACTATTGATGAAGTTTTATAGATAATGATATAGAGACAACTAAGGTTGAAGTTAATTGACCATAGTAAAAGACTAAGAGGACTACAGAGTCCTGTTATTTGTACATTGCATACATATTTTCAAACGTTTCTTTCACTTGATTTAGGTAACACATAACCTGGAATCCAGTGGGTGACATGCATACAATTTATATTAGCTCTTTGTACAACTCCTCTCTCCTGATTCACAGGCAAATGGCAGGGTTGTCAATTTTCATTGTAGCAGATGACCATGTAAAGTTGAACATCATACTGTTAGAAATAACCTTATTTATTTCTCTGTAACTTTTCAATACTGCCTCCCCAAAATCAATTGCTAAGGTGCAAAAAGGTAGAGCCATTGAACCAATGGCATTTAAATAAGTGTTTTTATTTAACAGTTCTTTCAGTGGTTCTGTTCTAATTGGAACTATCAGTTAGATTAAGTTCCTGGGCAGCATTGTCTTCTTACCATTGTCTTCTTCTTATAACAAAATGCATTATATTACTGTTTAAATTTTGGTGGCTGTTGCCAAATATGCATTTCTGCATATAAATTAGTATGTGCAAATGCTATGCAAATTTGTATCTTCTTCTGTTCTCTTTTTGCTTATGAATTTCTCTTTAAAGAAATGAATTGGGAAAACCTATCATTAGTCATCTGCTTAAGGAGCTATATATGCTTTAGGAAATAAAATATCAACATGTGTGTATTCTGTTTAAGAAAGTAACAAGCAGTTTTTGAAACTGCTGTAAAGAATAATGGAAATATACGCCTTTTTAAAAATTTCAGGAATGTCACAAGTGTCATGGACGTGGGCGATACAAGTGTAGTGGATGCCACGGTGCAGGCAGAGTGAGTTTTGTTGTTTCACTCTTCAATTATCTCACCTTTTCCTGGAAACAATGAATCTTTTCCCCATGTAGTGAAAGACATCTGGTTGTGATTACATATACATTTCCTCAGCTATCCATCTCTCATTTAGTGTGCTTTGTTGGGCCCATAGAGAGGGAAACATTTGAAAGTCTTATTGCTGAAACATGTATTCTGTGGAAATCTTATTATGGGGAAAGCAGGAAAACAACAGGGAATATTAATTCCCCTTGACATCTAGTTTGATTTATCTAGAGATACTATGCAGTCAGCAGCTGTATACTTGTGGGCACTGAGGATGCATCTACATTGTAAAATCAAAGCAATTTGACACCACTTTAACTGCCATGGCTCAATGCTATTGGATCACAGGAGTTATACTTTTGTTTATAAATTTGGCAGAGGATGTTTTTTAACTTTCTCTGCCAAACAGTACTGGTATCTCACCAAACTACCATCACATTGAATCATGGCAGTTAAATGGGTGTTAAACTGTATTCAATATACAGTATAGATCAGTGGTTTTCAACCTGTGGGTCTCCAAATGCTTTGGTCTTCAACTCCCAGAAATCCTAACAGCTGTTAACCTGACTGGGATTTCTGAAGTTGTAGGCCAAAACACCTGGGGACCTACAGGTTGAGAACCACTGGTGTAGATGATCCTGGCTCTGCTTTCATTGTCATTCCTACTTCCTAATTGTTAGCATTTGCCAGTACAGCTTCCTTTTCACCTAAATCAAATAATTTCCAGTGGCAAAAACTCTACCATTTCCAATTATAAATGCAAGCTCAGATATCTCCTTTGGCTGATATCTTCACTAATCTAACTAAACACATTTGAGAAGAATATTTGGCAATCATAGTCCAGTGGTATAGGAAAATGGCACCCTCAGACAGATATTTTTAATGGAAATGCTTGAACGTTAGTTGTTTCAGGATGCAAATAAGGGTGTTCTATTTATTTTGTGTCCCTTAGATGAGGTGTGTTACATGCAGTGGAGCCAGACACAAAGCAAAAGCCAAATATCTGCAACATCAGAAGCGGTGCCAGATGTGTTCGGGTACTGGTCGTAAGAGGTATGTTTCTTTATTAGAAAAAAAATGAGCTAATTCCTGCAGGCACCAAAGGGAATATATATATAGAGAGAAGGCTTCTGTGAAATACTGATTTCTTAAATCACGATCTATATACCATCGGGAAGACATACGCAGGGTTATCTATTTATGAAATGGCAAACTCAAGATATGCTTTTTGGATTTAAAAAAATAGTTTCAAGTATTGGATGGTTGAATCTTTAGATATAGAATCTGTGGATATGGAGGGCTATCTGTACCTACCCTGACACAAAACATTTAGTACTGAATTAACAAATTTTCTTTGAATATTTCAGACATAAATGAGCCTTTGTTTTTGTTTTTTTTTAAAAAAATCACAATTATGTAGACTGGTCACCATCTTCAATTCCCTTGTTTAAAAAGTAAACACTGAATTCTTGCCACTGTCACAGTGCTGCTTCTAGAGGTTTTCACCTAGACAGTATGATTCAAATATGGATGATAAATAGTTCAAGAAGTTGCCAACAAGGCTCTGGTATATGTGAAGGCAATCTCTCTCTCCTCAAAGCCATTGGAATACTATTTTTTGCATCTACAGAGACTTCTTTACATCTGACATTTCTTATGCAAGGTTGCAGTGCATCTTATAAATTGGCTGCCCAATAGCTGAATGAATTGTCTTTCTAATGATCTTTAAGTGGTGTGAGATACCTCCCTATTCTATTAAACTGTTTTATTAGGCCCCATTAAACTTAAAATAACAGAAATAGCATTGTGGGAGAATAGTAGCAATAATTTAGAAGTGGGCATCCATTGGGGCTTTCAATGTCTTAAAGTGCTTTAATAAATCAGCAGTTAACTGCTGCTAATCTGTGTCATGTTGATGCTCCCAAATTTGCCAAGAACAAACATATGCCTTCTACATCTGTTGTAGGCACAATTATACATTCCTTGAAAGGGTCACCTAGCCTTCTATAGCTGTGTGGGGAAAACAGCCATTATGTACAGATGTGCATTTAATTTCTTTCACTGACATCTTTGTTTCCAAATGATCTCTGCTGCTGTCACGAATCATGCACTTTGGCTGAGTCAGAAAGTTAATTAAGATCTAAACACACTTTTACTCTGTTAGTTCCTGAACATTTATTTTGGTAGCTAGGGCAGTACAGAACAAAAATACACCAAACTGTGTCTGCTAATACTCTCTGTCCTTTCCTCCCCCTTTGCCTTTGGATAGTGTGTTCTCTCTATGTTTAAGTTTCCTTGACTTGAAAATAAGTTTGTGATGAGATCACTAGTCTCCATTAAATATTTTCAGTCAAATTGGAGACTAAGAAGTAATCAGGATACTAGGGCTTGGAGGACAGCTATGGAAACAGGTGATAAGATCTTCATTAAGATGTCTGTCTGTCTGTCTGTCTGTCTGTCTGTCTGTCTGTCTGTCTATCTATCTATCTATCTATCTATCTATCTATCTATCTATCTATCTAGTATCTATCTATCTGTCAAAGGAAGGATTGCCCCTGCCAGTGTATTTCTATTTTCTGTGTATGGCTGTGAAAGTTGCACAGTGAGGCTATATCTATACTTATATATAGGTATAGCAATATAGAACTGCATTATATGGTCAGCCTAGACCTAGGACTTCATCCCACAAGCAGGGTAAAGCAGGGGGCACAGTCTTCTTTGTGTGACATTTCATTGGGTTCCTTCTTCAAAGAAGATTGAGAATTTACTCACCCACATCACACAGCATTGCCTTCTCCTTTTTATAGTTCAATTATTTAAAGACCACCACCACACTTTTAAAAACAGGCATCCCTTTTGAAATACCACTTTCCATGGGATAATTTCCCTTAAAATCCTACACTAAAGGAGACAGGCACACTTTTTAAAACACTTATTTCAATGGGACCCACCTGTTTTTAAACTACTAATAGAAACAGGAGGAGCATTAGCAAACCGCTCACATGAAAACCTACACTGAAACATCGCAAAAAGTAATCAGAGAAATCCACCACTTTCCATCACAAGGACAAAGGCTCATTTTAAGTATTTCTATGCACAGGGAAAGGAGTGGAGTCAATGTCTTTGAAATCCTCCCATTTCTATACACTGTGGAGACTAACCACTGTAAGAAGTCCTGCTTGGTTTGATGGGATGTGCACACTTCAAAGTCAGTCTTTGAAGTGTGCAGAAACAAGTAGAAATGGAGAAAACTTTCATATGATGAGGTTCCCATATAATGCAGTTCAATGCAATTCAAATTGTGTTATATGGGTGTACATTCACCATACAATGCTGTTCAAACTGCATTATTTGGAACTGTAGATCCAGCCTTTAAAAAGCTGAAAGGAAGAAGTTCAACTAATGCTACATACTACGGACTGCTAAAATAAATGAGTCTGTTTCATATGGCAGTTTAGAACCAGCTGATGCATCCGAAGTGTAGCAATCTCAGTTTTGTCATTTTGGCTTATAGAATCATAGAATCATAGAGTTGGAAGAGACCGCATGGGCCATCTAGTCCAACCTCCTGCCACTAGAATGAATTCAAGCATATAATGCAGTTTCAGATTGTAGCTGAACTGAATTGGACTGGATTAAATGACACCATAGACTCCTGTGATCCAGTTCAATGTAGTTAAATTGCATTATTTGGTAGTGTAGATACAGCTATCACGAGATAAAACAAGTCTATAGAAGGGTTTAAAATGCTTAGTTAAGTTGAAAGCAAGAGCTCTCTCTCTCTCTCTCTCTCTCTCTCTGTGTTGGGAGAATGAATCCTACACTTTATACCTGGCTTTTCAAATTTCCTCTCCTAGTATTCCCATTTAAGATGGTGTGGGTTGCATTTAGAACAAATCAATAAATGCAAACTTTACATCTAAAAGGTGCAGCACATGTTCTGGAAGAGGAAATAAGACCTGTACAACCTGCCAAGGAGAGAAAAAGTTGCTACACTTTGTCCAGCTGATAATAACTTGGTATGTTTTTTATTATTGTTGTTGTGATTATTTTTGCTGTCTGAAATAAAACACAACACCAACAAAAGGCTTGCAGGATGGTTCAAGGATGGTTTGTGAACTAAACAGATGTGGTAGTACAAGAGACACCACAGGATATATTACTATTCTGTGCAGTCTATCTTACAGAAATGAATAATCAAAGATGAGTAGCTCCCTTCTTTTCAATCAATATTAGGGTTGCATTTTACGAATGTCAGATCAAGGGATATTTTTGGAAACCACCAATGATTCATAGAAATCTACTTGAAGAGGCAGCAGTGGCATGTAATGGCTGAATGCCACTTCAATACTGCACCTATGCCATGCAGGGAATTGATCCTCAATGGCTAAGTATGCTGAAAGGCTTCATATGGGATGACCTAATTCAAAGGAGTGGATTCATTCTATCAGGGGTCTACTAACTGAATGGTGTAGGAGCTGTAATTTTTTAAGCCAAGTGTATGAGAGCCAGCGTGGTGTAGTTGTTTGAGTGCTGGAGACCAGGTTTCAGTTCTCTGTCATGAAAACTCACTAGGTGACTGTGGGTGAGTCATACACTCCTTCTTTCATCTGCAACATCAATTGAGGTACACAATATGGTTTTCAATAGGATCCTAGACATTATACCATTGTATCTAAGAATCCCCATATGAGGCTGATGGAGTGTGACTTGCCCAAGCTCACCCAGGGATTTGAGCCCTGATCTCCAGAGTTTCATGGCTCATGTACACAGGCATTAAAATATGGATATACCCTGAGTCCATGTCTTGTTGTTTCCATGACATTTCTGCACTTCTTGAAAGTATCATGGGTTAAATCTAGTTTTGCTCTTTTATCTAGTTTACTCTGTGGTTAGGAAAAGTCACACATTGCTGTTCACATGGGCCATCATAATCATCGCCTTTTCCCTGAGCACAGGGAATAGGAGGTGTGTCATCCCCATATCATCACTGTCACTCTTCCAGATGACCACCCAGCTGTGTGACGTCTTGGCTATCATGATCTCAGTATGGTTCAATCATGTAGACTCTGACCCACCATTGCAGTATGTTTGGGAGGGCATGTGTGTGTCTGCCTCTGGACCTAGCATTTGAAACACTACGTCACACTGGGTTTCAGAATTTAAATTCATATGGAATTCTAATATTTGTAATTTAGGGAGATAATTCTAAATGCCTATTTCTAAATTGCAACTCCCAGAATTCCATAGGATGAAACCACAGCAGGCTTAGAATAGCATGAACAAGCGCATAGGAAGATCTGCAGCCTGATTTGTACTTTGATAAATGCTCTAATATTGTATTCTGGACTTTTATCACTTTACAGGAAAAACAATGTATATGAATTCATTTCTGAACATGAGTTGAACTTTCCAAGGGAACTGCTTAATAAAGCCATGGGAGAGAACATATTTAAAGATGAAAACACTCTGGTGAGTTCTCTACTACCACCCCTTCCCTTCAGGGCCAGGGCAGATTTTTTTCCCCCTTTAGTAATAAAATATTTAGTGGGGAAAATTAAGAATCAGTTGAGTTGCTTAAGACTATAATTGGTTTATTTCTACTTTTTACTTTCTTGCTGCCTTAATGAACATGTACTCAGACATCCCATGAGATGTTAAACCAGACTGGAACTGTCAATTGGACCCAGCTACCATTATGCATTGGGATGAATCAAATGTATCATTACGTATTTGCAGACTCTACTTAGTGAAGAAGAGATATGAGATGGTTCTTAGGAAACAATGACTGCCCAATAAATGGGCAACAACTTTTATTAATTACAAACAGTACATCTAAAAAGAAAAAATGTACGGTGAGAAGAAGAAATCTAGTGGCACCTTTGAGACCCTTTTTTTTCAGCATGAACTTTCACAGAAAAAAAAATAGATGTGGAAGTCCATGCTAAAATACACCAGTTGGTCTCAGAGGTACCACTAGATATTTTCTTCCTAATGTTTTCATATTCTTTTTTATGTTATGACAAAGTAGCATAGCTTACTGTACTACTACAGAGGGAAATCTATATGGTAAAGCATACATTGCCTCTCTCTCTCTCTCTTTAATGAATGCCTTTACCAAGGCAATGGTAGAAGTTTTTTCTCTTCATTTAGCCAATTGGGTGAGCTATCAACTCAGCTTAATTCACTTTAAGAACAAACCTACAGAACCCATCTTGTTCGTAACCTGGGGGCTACTGGTAATAAAATACTATAGTTATAGCCTATTCCAAGACACCCCCTAACAGTCTGATAGCAGTGCATGCTGAGTTTTAAATTAGATGTTTCTATCAAACTTACACATCAGACATCAGAAAAGTGAAGCTTTTATGCTTATGTGCTCATTTATTATGATTATCCAGGGTCTAGAACTGTTGGCGATAATTCAAATAATTTAGCGTTAAGACCCTTTGAATTACCAAAAATGTGCCATGCCCAGGAGTTTCACAGCCACTATGTTCATATGATTTAGATTTAGATTATGCACATTACAAGGAAATGGACCATGCAGTCACATTTGGGTTCTGCAGCTCTGGTTCTATTTCTCTTGTAGATTTTGTTCCCAGAACTGATACAAGTGACTGTGAATTGGAAAATGACGGATAATGGGCGGCGTGCTTGTTCTCATTCCATCTTGTTGGACAATGTGTTGTGCAAAATGCCCTGGCAGATTAAGGAAAATAATCATTACTTTAATGCATATGTTGAATATGTTAATCAAACCAGGACTGTGTAGGTTCATGAGCATGACTGGAAAGGTGAGTGGAGGGAGGAAAATGAGTGGAGACGGCTGTGGACTGAAACTGCTTGTCTTTCAAGTTCTTTTTTTCCTGAATTTCAGGTGTATCCTCTTGTTGACTTCCCTTACCCTCAGATCTTGCAGGCATCACAAAGAGCTATTGCTGAACATAACGCCATATTCAGTGGCACGTCTCGCATTCTGCAGCAGGTACATTAAACAAAAATTTAGTGAATTTATTTCTGAAAGCATTTTCATTGTACTGAATACCAGGAATTTTGAACACACGAGAGAAAAGGATTTGTGGGAAATGGGTAGAAATGATAGCTGAAGGCATCCATAATAGGGGAATCCACTCTGGGTTTTCTTCTGAACTTTCTGTGAAGGAAATTAGGAGTTAAATAGCCTCTGTGTATGTTTGTATATGTTGTATGTCAAAATTGGCATTGAATGTTTGCCATATATGT